CGTCCTGGGTTCAGGCAATTCTCCTGCCTCAGCCTCCTGAGTAGCTGGGATTACAGGCATGCGCCACCATGCCCAGCTGACTTTTTGTATTTTTAGTAGAGACAGGGCTTCACCATGTTGGCCAGGCTGGTCTCGAACTCCTGGCCTCAAGTGGTCTGCCTGCCTCGGCCTCCCAAAGTGCTGGGATTACAGCTGTGAGCCAACGCGCCCAGCCTATTTATTTATTATTATTATTATTATTATTTTTTTTAATACAAAAGTTTATTCTTAAATGTACAACAGCTCCAAGACAACACTTAATTCCAGCTATAGGTGGCAAAAGATGCTATGGCAGGGAATACAGATGTTTAAATACGGATGAAATAAAGGGTCCCCATCTCCTCAGGGACAAGGAACAGCTTACTTTTTGCCAGATTTCTTAATTCCACCTGTGGCCAGGGGCCCCTTCCCCGCGGCCTTTGCTTTTAGCTCTTCGAGTTTCTTCTGCTCTTCTTTTTGTTTCTGCTTGAAAGCCTTATCTTCCTCGTCCATCTCCTTGGCCTGCTTCTTGGGCTGTTTCAGGGGCTTCTTCTTGCCACCTTCCCGGCCGGACATGGCGCCTGCCACCCCTTTCCCAGACCCTGCCACCGGAAACCTATTATTATTATTATTATTTAGACAGAGTCTCGCTCTGTCACCAGGTGCCAGGCTGGAGTACAGTGGCACGATCTCGGCTCACTGCAACCTCCACCTCCCGGGTTCAAGCAATTCTCCTGCCTCAGCCTCCCTGGTAGCTGGGACTACAAACACGAGCCACCATGCCTGGCTCAGTTTTGTATTTTTAGTAGAGACGGGTTTTCCTCATGTTGGCCAAGCTGGTGGCACACGCCACCAGGCCCAGCTAATTTTTTTTTTTTTTTTTTGTATTTTTAGTAGAGACGGGGTTTCACCATGTTGGCCAGGATGATTTCAATCCCTTAACCTAGTGATCCGCCCACCTTGGCCTCCCAAAGTGCTGGGATTACAGGCTTGAGCCACCGCGCCCGGACTTATTTATTTTTATTTTTCAGACAGAGTCTCACTCTGTCACCCAGACTGCAGTGCAGTGGCACCATCTGAGCTCTGAGCTCACTGCAACCTCTGCCTCCAGGGTTCAAAAGAACCTTCCACCTCAGCCTCCCTAGTAGCTGAGACTACAAACACGAGCCACCATGCCTAGCTCAGTTTTGTATTTTTAGTAGACATGGGGTTTCCTCATGTTGGCCAAGCTGGTCTCGAACTCCTCACTTCAAATGATCCACCCACCTTGGCCTCCCAAAGTACTGGCATTACAGGGTTGAGTCACCACGCCTGGCCTCATGATCTCTATTTTAACATTAATGCTGGTCAGCTGTTGTGTCTAAACCACAAAAGGGAGGAGATATGAGCCATGTCCAACTTCCACTCCAGTCATGGCCAGGAACTCGGTTTCTTTTTTCTTTTTTGAGACGGAGTCTCGCTCTGTCGCCAGGATGGAGTGCAGTGGTGCAATCTCGGCTCACTCCAGCCTGGGTGACAAGGTGATCCCCTTCCCCACGCCTGCATCGGACAGTCTCGGGGATGCAGGAGCCGACAGAGCCTAGAATCCGTACACTGGGAGCCTGGGCTGTGGTTGTGTACATATAAATGCCGAGGTTTTCGTTAATGAACTGGGGTTGTTTCGGGGAAGGTGGGGGTGGGTTGGAGGGAACAGGAGCAGATAATTAGATATACTTTTTTTTTTTTTTAATTTAATTTAAGAGATGGAGTCTCGCTCTGTCTTCCAGGCTGGAGTGTGGAGTGCAATGGCGAGATCTCGGCATTGCAACCTCCGCCTCCCGGTTCAAGCGATTCTCCTGCCTCAGCCTCCCGAGTACAGTAGCTGGGATTTCAGGTGCCCGCCACGACGCCCGGCTAATTTTTTTATTTTTAGTAGAGACGGGGCTTTACCATGTTCGACAGGCTGGTCTCGGACTCTTGACCTCAGGTGATCCTCCTGCCTTGGCCACCCAAAGTGCTGGGAGTAGAGGCGTGAGCTACCGCGCCGGCCTGAACATAGTACTCTTCCGTTGATCTGGCCCTGGTAAAAATTATCTCAGTATTAGCTATGCAGAGAGCTGGAGAAAAGAGAATCCAAATCCCTGACAACCCCGGCCCAGCCTTCCCAGCTAAGCTGCGTTTTCGAATTTTCGTGGCTTACCAAACGTTTCTCCTTAGGAGACTCCATAGCCTGAGGGAGGTGAATTTTTCCTGACAAAGAGGATTATTCCTGAACCCAGTGGTGACGTCTGCTTCTATCCTGCTTTGTTTACTTTTACACTTCCCTCTGAATAGCTGCATTACAAAAGGGATAAAGAATTACTAGTTAATCCCAAACCAAAATAAAAGGAGAGAAAAGGACTGGTTGCTGCACCTGACAACTGCTGAAATAAGGTTAATCTAAAACACAAAAATTTTTGGATTTCCCTGGACCTTGTGGCGCAACGGTAGCGCGTCTGACTCCAGATCAGAAGGTTGCCTGTTCAAATCACGTTGGGTCAAACATGTTGGCTGTTCTTCTCTTTTGACACCGCGAGTTATATAGACTTGCTGCTGACTCTCAGCCATGGACCACTGTATTTTCTGCTCTTAGCAGAAAGAACCTAAAGATTTATTGGTGTGAGTGCCTCAGCAGTGGACGGGCACCTTAGCTAAAGTGTGAGGAAAAATTCATAGCCAAAACTCAGGTCGTGCTGTTCACATCTGTAGCAGGAGTTATCAGAACAGTGCTTCTAATATAGCACAATTACAGGACTTCAGATAGGACCTTAAAACAGTGCTGGAGCACTTTGGAGGCTGAGGTAGGCGGATCATTTGAGCCCAGTCTCATGTTTGTAGTCTCAGCTATTAGGGAGGATGAGGTGGAAGGTTCTCTTGAACTCTGGAGGCAGAGGTTGCAGTGAGCTCAGATGGTGCCTGTAGTCCCAGCTGCTGCTTAGGAGGCTGAGGCGGGAGGATCCCTTGAGCCCGGGAGGTCGAGGCTGCAGTGAGCTATGATTACGCCACTGCACTCCAGCCTGGGTGACAAGGTGAGACACCGTCTCTAAATGAATAAATAAATAAAACGGTTCAGAGCTAAGGGAATAGTGGCTTTCCCAATCCAGTGTTGGTGGTGCAGCCAATTCTCCAGCATTTGAGGTTCCAGTGCCACTAGGACACAGCTTTATTTTATTTTATTTTATTTATTTATTTTTTTTTTTTGAGTCGGAGTTTCGCTCTTGTT